GATAAACAGTGCACTAAGTATTCACTCGAGAAAGCCATGTTCATTGGGGCCCTCCCACCACTGAATACACAAGGAGCACTTGATAATTAAACCAACTTAAGTGTCTGTGTCTATACATGTACCTGAAGACTATTTCCAAAACGTTTCAAAATACAAGTCTGGATCCAGAGAGATCCTGATCAATTTACTGGGTGACTACCAGATACCTAATTTCACAGGGCAAAACCCAGTTAGAGGAATGCCTTGAGACACAGCCTTGCTAAAGGACCTAAATGGCTTTCTGAGAAAAGAAGATTCAGGTTGAATAAAGAGCTAAATTTAGTTTCTTCCTGAGTATGTTTTCCCAATCAATAGACCATCAAAACAAAGTCCCACCACCACTACAACAACTGACACTGTGGCCAAGGAGAATCCAAGTAATTATTTTGCAACAGCTTAGACACTGCTGACCACTGTGCAGCATGTAGTCACAATATGACAACCTGAGCAGCCACCCAAGCTACACCAATGGTAACAGATACGTTCTTTTGCTACTCTGGAGATTAGCAGAAAATAAAGCAGTAAATATTCCATGCCATATGCACCACGGCCAGAGAAGTTGTCCCACTGCTCCTGGAAACTGCTGATTCACATTGGCCCATCACTGAGCAAGGGCAGAGAGCAAAGATGATCTATTTTGCTGTTAAACTCGCCTTGTCCTTTAATACTATATTCTTTCCATCTCTATCTATCTGCACTTAGAAGAGAAAAAGGAAACATGAAGAGCCTTTCTCCTGAGCTTCATGTCCTTGTCTGTTAAGAGAAAACTACACCAGGTGACCAAGCAACCTAACACTATCAATTCATGGGCCGAGACTGTTTCTCCAAATAGCCTAGATATGCTGCCTTACTTAGACCCTAATATTTGAATAGTAGATCCAAATGGCAAAGGGTTTGCTCAGTAAAGTCATGCCTGAGGCCCACACATTAGAGCAAAGATGAAAATCAACTGTAGAAAAGCTACCAGCAACATAACTGCTGCTTGCTCTACTTTCAGCAAGATCCTGCCTGGAAAAAGAGCTTTATTTCTACTCCTTGGGCAGTACTAAGAAAAATCTTATGGAACAAGGCCACAGAGCTTCCTGTCCCTGCACTGTCAGGTGGCAGCAGAATGGCATTGGTCATTAGACAGCAAGATGCCACCTTGGTTTCTGGCCAAAGATAAACAGCACATGTGGTTTGTAGCATGTTAAGGATGGCAATTTTAGTAAACAGTTTCATGTGAAGACAAACTTTTGCTTCCATCATGAAAAACAAGAGATGAAGATGAAGATGGGCAGGTGGAGTGAGTAGCTCTCCTTTTGTCTACTTAAACAAAATTTTTTTTGGCTCTTATATCTGAAAACTGTCTTTGATTCTGTTATTTTCACTCTTTTAATCACTTCATTCCAAAGTAACTGTAATTTTACCAAGCTCACAAATTCCCAAACTGCATAATTCAGCAACTTTGGTGGTACCAGAAACACGATAGACACAAAGGACTCTCAGCAGGAGCAGCTTCCTTTACAGTGAAGGGATGGAGGGGCAGTGCTAAGTCCAGGAACAGTGTGCCTAATGGACAGTAACTGCCTTTGAAAAGCTTAGGGCCTGTCTGTCTAAGCTTGATTTGGAGGGAAGGTATTTATCCTTACACAGGTGGTAAAAATCAAATCAACAGTTATAATGTCACTTAAGGAAATGTCCTTAATAAAAAGACATGGCCACATCAGAGTCCTCTAGTGAAAGAAATAATCCCTGGAACAATTTCCTAGACTTTCTTAAGTCTGATAGTCTGTATTTCGGAGAAAGCATCCACCAACAAGTTTCTAATACAGTTTTCTAAATACAACAGAATTCTATACCATCGAACAAAACCAATTCCATTCCCCTTCAAATTTAATTATGTTATCTGCCAAACTCAATCTAAACCAACTTCAAGCATTCAAATTTTACCTTCCTGTTGGGTGTGGTAGTACACACCTGTAATCTCAGCACTCGGGAAGCTGAGGCAGGAGGATCACTGTGAGCTCAATGCCAATCTGGGCTACATGGTGAGTTCAAGATGAGTCTTGAACTACATACATACTGAGACATGGTCTCAAAAAAAAAAAAAGAAAAAGAAAAAGAAAAGAAAAAGAAAAAAGAAATTGCCTTTCTTTTATTTTTTTAAAGAGCAGAATATAGTTACTGGGGGAAAGAAAGCTTCTAAAGGGACAGAAAGGGACCTGAGTTGCCTTACCTTTCTTTTAAACCAAAATCAAAATACACTCCCTTTTCTACTTACTATGTAATAACAATTTCTCCATTAGCTCTCAGCATCACTCAGTACAAATGTCTGCAAACCATATTCCAAGAAGCCCTGCTAATAACGTAGTTTTGGGGAAAGGTGGGGCAGGAATGAGGTGGACCACATTTGCCACAGCTGTTTCACAGGTTGTAGGTCTGAAGAGAAGGTTCTAATGCTTAGAAAACTTAAACTCGGTGGGTTCCAGCAGCTCTGGTGGAGAGAGGAATGGCAGCGGTTGAGCTGCGTAGCTCCCTGAGGCTCCCGTGCACCTCGACCCGCAGCTTCCGCACACAGCCAAGATGCTCAAGAGGAAGGTCAGCTTGGCTGAAGGGGCAGCGAAGGAGGAACCCAAGAGGAGATCAGCGAGATTGTCGGCTAAATCTGGTCCAGCTAAAGTGGAAACGAAGCCAAAAAAAAGTGGCGGGTAGGGGCTGGGGAAATGGCTCAGTGGAATAAGCGCTTCCTTGGCAAGCGCAAGGACCTGAGTTCAATCCCCGGTTCCGCAAAAAAAATAAATAAATAAAATAAATTTTAAAAAAAGGGAGGTGGGAAAGGATAAATCTTCAGACAAAAAAAAGTGCAAGCAAAAGGGAAAAGGGGAGCCAAGGGAAAATAGGTGAAGTGGCTAATCAAGAAACCAAGGAAGATTTACCTGCAGAAAATGGAGAAACTAAAAATGAGGAGAGTGCAGCTTCTGATGAAGCAGAAGAAAAAGAAGCCAAGTCTGATTAATCACACACCATGTCTTATCAGGGGTCCCTGTCTCCCTTCTTGTACAATCCAGAGGAATATTTTTATCAACTATTTTGTAAAAGCAAGTTTTTTAGTAGCTCTAGAAACATTTTTAAAAAGGAGGAAATCCCACCTCATCACATTTTTTAAGTGTAAATGATTTTTTTTAGGGTGAAATCTTCTCTGGTTGTTTACTTTTTGGTACAACCAGAAATAGTGGGATATTGAATTATGGCAGGCTTTGACTGTCTTGGGTCTCAGCTTAACATTCCATAGCTGGGGGTTAGTTTTATATCCTGCAATACAAAGCATGCTAAATGGCAATTTGGAATCACAGTCCTGCATTTAATGTCTTGGATACTTTATTTATTTATTTATTTATTTATTTATTTATTTATTTTTATGGGTACAAACTGACATTTTAATTATAGGAAAAGGAAACTACTGAGTATATTATTTCAAAGTGAAACATTTCCAGCATAAATCTTTTCTTACACTTATTTGAGAAATTCACAATATATTTTAGAGGCTCAATGAATACATTCAAAATTTCAAAATGTGATTTGCTAAAATAAGGTCAAGCCTATCCCAAATCCAAGACTGATGCGAGGTGGGCTGCCAAGAAACCACCACGGCTGCTGTGCAGTTATGAACAACAGCTACTACCTAGGCAGCGCAGCCCTGCCACCTGAAACTCGGTGGAAATCTACAGTTTATCATTTTCAGTGTTAGAGCTAAGTAAGACTTTTTGTCTTGGATACTTTAAATGACTTCTATTCTCATGATTTTTGGTAGAATTATTTCCTAAAGAAAACTACATCCTAATTGTTGCCCTGTCAGAATCATGTGCACTCTGTAACATCTTTGGTAGTGGTAGTCCGGTTTGCCTCATTTTGTTAATGTGCTGTGAAAGTTCAAAAATCTGAGTATGTAGTGTATGTGATACAAAATTGTGAATTGGTGGAACTTAACACTTTGTCAGCATTTGAAGATACTGGTACTTAATCCTCTTACAGAAAATTTGCCTCTAAATTTGAAGATGGAAATTCACTGGAACAACTGAAAAACAATACATGGCTTTTTTTGGTATGTGTATTAAGAATTGTGTACAAAGTGAATCATGTGTACTGATCCTCAACACAACCAATAAAATCTTGAATATTGAAGATAAAAAAAAGAGAGAGAGAGAGAACTTAAACTCACACAAAACTGATAAAGCACAACCTTTTTTTTTTTTCCAGAACCGGGGATTGAACTCAGGCCCTTGTGCTGGCTAGGGAAGCGCTTATTCTACTGAGCCATCTCCTGCCCCCCCCCTCTTTTTGTCTTTTTGAGACAGGGTTTCATGATGTAGTTCAAGCTGGCTTGAACTCACTTTGTAGCCCAGGCTGGCCTTGAACTCACAGGGATGCTCCTGCCTCAGCCTCCTCAGTGCTTGGGATTATAGGCCTTTGCCCCCATGCCTGGCATGGTACTACTTTCTTACATGAGAACTGTACTAAACTCTCAATGACCGGGCTGCCAAGGGGTAAGGAGAGCACAGCAAGCAAATATAACTCACTGAAACTAATTTTAAACACTGATGTCAATCATACACCTTCAACTATATTTTGCACCAGCAAGTAACTAGTAAAACAGAAGTGAATTTTTGGTAAAATATATAGGCAGTATCAAGGAAGCTTCTCTGAATCTAGATATTCAGTTCCTGTGCCTTAACTGTTAATCACAATATACCAAATAAAGAGCAGACCCCATCCTGTTAGGTCCAGGGTATAAATGGGCACATAAAGAAACTACCTCTCCATAGTGCTCTACTGCCCAACTGGCTGCATCCCCAAGAGACAGTAATGCTGGGCCACACGGAGTGACGCAGACACTCAAAGTTAATTCCTAGGACAAGATTCTGACTCAGAAACTGGGTCCTTGTGTCTCAGAGCAGCCCATATGACAAGCTGCCACTCACCCGTGCAGAACTCCTTGCTCACACTGTGGGGCACTGTGATCCGTCGGTAGACAATGGGCTCTGACTCTAGGATGTTCTCATCATGGCGGTACCGAGCAGGCCTTTCATTTGGGATGCCCCGGCAACGGGTACCGGTTCTCCTCTCATAGGTATCAATCTCCTCAAACACAGCTGCCTTATCAAAAAGGGCAAGGTTCCCTTCAAAATCAAAATCTGTATCTGGCATCTCCTCAATGTCATCCCCGAAGCACTCGTCATCTTTATTCTTCATTTGGCCATTCTTCAAGCCACTTTTCTTTGGAGTTGCCTGATTTGGGTGTCTGCTGCTAGATGACCCTGGAGAAAGAGGGACTGCAGTCAGTATGCCCAAAGAAAGTGGAAAAAGGAGAAAACATCAAATATTAGCCCTTTAGGGATCAGAGGCAATAGTAAGCTACAAACCACAATGACTCTCATGTGGACCAACAAATTTCAAGACGTATTACACAATTCACTCAATGAATATGAAATGAACAACCTCCTAAAAACATAAGCCTTCTGCCTCTAAAATAAAACTGGCAATAACAAGTTACTATCAGAAAAGATGTGAAGGGCAAAAACAGCTGCCTCTTCCCATAAGCTAGGGTGGTTTTAGTCTGATTGTCCTGCAATCATTTAATAGAAAAACATTCCCTCCCCAAAAGCAAAAAGCTCAGCCAAGTCTTAGAAAAATGAAACTCACAGGAAGATTGTACTGAAAGGGCCCTTAATTGAATGTTTATTCAGCAAGCAACCTTCTGGTTTTTAAATTCCCCTCAGGGGGGGAACTACCCATTCGGGCCCCCCTCCTGTCCCTCTCTGGGACAGGAGCTTTCTTTCCCTCAATAAATATATTCTGCTCATAACCTCTGTTTGTTCCTAAAATTCATTCTTCAGTTTTAGAGAACACAAACTAGTACAGGTCAGGTCGAGAGATCATTTTTCCCTATGTCATTTGGAGGTTCCCTATATGGTTTGGAGGTCATCTACCCAAGATCAGTTTTTCTCCCTGTATCATTTTGGAGGTTCCCACCAAGATCACTGGATGGACAGGACTAGAGAAATGAGGGAAGGAAGAATTTATAGGGAAAATGTTCCTGGAAGAAGGAACAGCAAGTACAAATGCTCTGGAGCTGGTGAACATGTCATGTAACTTTTATATATCAATAAGGCCACTGTCGTTGGGAGTCAGCAGAGCTGGATCACAGACAGCAAGGAGGAAAGTATGCATTTATGTACAAGGCATAAGGAGGGACTAAACTCAGGCACTGGTGCTTTCCAAGCAAGCGTTTATTCCACTGAGCCATCCTCCCAGCCAAGTCAACAACTTCTGTCCTCATCAGTCTTACGTAAAACCCACTAATATTGTGGACTATGGGACCATATTGGAATATTTTGCTGAATTCATGCACCTACAATATTTAAATGACAATGGAATACCCTTCTCTGACCATACTAAACAAAAAAGGGGGATACAAATGAAGGACCATTTTGTATCTGTATGTTCAAAATAGTTAAGATAGATACACAGCTGCATTCTCTTGGATCACTGACTAGAGATTTGTTCTAATAGTATTTGTGGACAGAATATCATTTCTGCATCTTATACAATGAATAACCACTAAGACAACAATATGCAATGTATTAATTACTGAAACTGTGCTAGGAATGGGTTGTGGAACTGTCTCATTGTTATTTCTCAATAAAATTATTAAATAAACAAATAAAATAAATTCCCCTCAGGTTAGGCCCCAGTATGAGAACTCCCGGTTTAGGCAAGAGATGGAAGCTCTTGAGCAATATGCATCTACCACTACAAAATGGTATTCTGACTTATAAGCCTGTCTTTAGACTTTTCGATTAATAGGACCTCTTTCCTCAGAATTTTATTTCTTCTCAGTAATCAATTCCTGAACCATCAAAGACTAAATGAATATTGAGCTGGTCTTGCAGAGACCATATCAACATGCGTATCAACTGCAGAGCAGTCGTGCTCTGTCTCTGAAACTCAACTACTACTTTAGCATCCAAGGCAAAATGATCAACAAAATCCTCTTAACTAGCTATTCCAGAGAGCTGCTGTGCATCCACAGTAGGGTTTCTAGGCAGTTAATGTGTAATGAATTCATCAACACTGCAGTATTATAATAATTATTCTGAAAGATGCAAATGTAACATTCAAGTCCTCCTTTCGAGACCTAAATCATGTCTTCAAAAAAATACTGGCATTGAAGAAATGATTTAGGTCTCAAAGGAAGGAAAGAAGGAAGGAAGGAAGGAAGGAAGGACGGACGGACAGAGAAAGAAAAGAAACAACCAAACCGAATTATAAAGAGGAGAGGGCAGTAGAGATACCATTTACAACCATTACTATAAAATTAAGCTGGGCCAGGGAGATGGCTCAGTGGAATAAGTGCTTCCCTGGCAAGCGCAGGGCCTGAGTTCAATTCCCGATTCCGCAAATAAATAAATAAATAAATGCTAAGCTGAGTCCTACTTTTTTTTCTTCTGCAGATCAGGTCTCACTATGTAGCCCAGGCTGGTCCCAAACTCTCAGCGATCTTCCTTCTTCAGCCTCCTGTCTGCTGGTATTACAGACCTGTGCCATCACTTACTACGTGATTCAGTGAGAGTGTGCTATGTAGTACAGGAGGTGCCAGGAACACTGTGCATAACCTAGCTCAACAACAAGGGAGGGGAGTCTAGATGCTGAAGTGGTGTGCTGAAGATGCTGGAAGCCAAAGCCGCACTTCCTGCCTTCCCTTTCTGGCCAGCGAGGCCCCTCAGATGTGAGCTGTGACCTGGCCAGCAGGCCAGCAAGTCAGCAGCCCCCACCTTACACTGTGGGCTCGCCTGCTGCTGCACCCCAGCAACCTGGTCTGATGGCCCAGATGGCCACCACTGCAGCAGGTGCGGCTGTGGGGCACACTCTGGGCCACACCATCACAGGTGGCTTTAGCAGGGGAGGCAGCGGCGAGTCCCCGACATCACTTATCAGGAGCCTCAGTGGGCTCAGCTGCAGCAGCAGGAGACCAGGGCCCTGCCACTTTGAGATCAAGCAGTTTCTGGAGTGCACACAGAACTAGCCTGATGTACGAAGCTCTACAAAGGTTCTAACTGAGTGCTGAGGCAGTGTAGGATGGCAAAAGGCCTCCTCTAAGCAGGAAGTTCACCCGGAAGAACTGGAAAGTAGACCTGACCAAGTTACTTTAGCATAAATGTTACTAATGCAAGAAGTGTAAAACCATTCAGTTCCACCTCTCCCTGTAGCTTCAGCGCTTCCGAACGGCCACGGAAGAAAGCCACACAGATGGGCTACGCTTGGGACATGTGTGACCTCCATAAGCCAGCTGGGGTTTTTTTGTTGTTTTTTTTGGCGGAACTGGGGATTGAACTCAGGCCCTTGTGAGATCTCCCTGGCCCCAAGCCAGCTGTTTTGATGTTATTAATTTGAATAAAGTGATTTATGGTTTTCATAAAAAATAAAGAGAGGAGAAATATGGATCCAAACACTGAAAATACAATGGGATTTGACTATGAAACTGATACAAAATGCCACAGAAATATGGATGTGAAGCCAGGTATGGTGGTACAAGCCTGTAATGCCAGCACTTGGGAGACTGAGGCAGGAGGATGGCTGTGAGTTTGAGGCCAGCCTGGGCTACAAAGTAAGTTGAAAGCCAGAATTGCATTACAAGACCCTGTCTCAAAAATACAAAAGAAAAAAAAATATATATGTATTGAGAAAAGAGAAATGGGAGGACAGGGGGCTAGGGAGATAGCTCAGTGGCATAAAGTGCCTACTTGGCAAGCAAAGGTCCTGAGTTGAGTCCCTGGTGTGGGGGAGGGGGAAAAGGAATGGGGGGAGGAAGAGAAGAGGGGGAGAAGGGGGAAGGAAGAAGCGGGGAGGGGAGAGGGAAGGAATAGGAGAACAGGTATAAAAAATACAAGGTAGGGGCTGGTGAGATGGCTCAGTGGTCTAGAGCACCTACTTGGGGCAGGCTTGGCAGAGCACAGGGACCGCAGTTCAATCTCCCAGTACCACATGCCGGCCAGCCCCGCCCCCTGGTGGGCTGAGCTGGACACACACACACACACACACACACACACACACACACACATAAATAAATAAATAAAATTTTTTAAAAATACAAGGTAGAATAACTAGCATACCATTAACACACATAAAGGAAAAGACTAAAGAAACAGGTGCTGGCCCAGGAGTCTCTCTCCAGTGGGCATCTTCCCACTGTGGTAGGATATATAGAGGACCCACTAGAATACAGAAAAATGACATGAGTATTCTTCTCTAAACTAAGCACAGTGAGAAATTAAACTTTAAGGATTTACTAAGCTGTAGAAACTGCTGTCTTTCTGAATTTCATTTCAGCTAGTCACTGCCCATATTTGAGCCATCTGAAGAATATATGATGCTCCACAAAAAGAAGTTTCTCCATGCAAGTAGATTTACAGCTGTTTTTGTTTGTTGTTGCTTTTTAAGTTGTAAAATACAGGCATGCATCATTAACATTGGGGATATATCCTAAGAAATGTGCTTTTAACAGTGAGTTCATATTGTGTGAACACCATAGAGTGTACTTATATAAACTAAAAGGGCAACAAGGTCACAAGGCAATCTTATGGGGCCGCCATCATACACATGGTCTGCTGATGACTGAAGCACTATTATGTGACACTCATATAAACATAAAACGTACCATTTACCTACAGCTCAGGAAGGACAGAGGAGGGAGGGGAAGTAAAAATGGTGAAGAAGCTATGTTTAGGGGCTGGTGAGATGGCTCAGTGGTCTAAAGCACCTACTTAGAACAAGCTTAGCAAAGCACAGGGACCGCAGTTCAATCCCCCAGCACCATATGCCAGCCAGCCCCGCCCCCTGGTGGGCTGAGCTGGCCACACACACACACACACACACACACACACATACACACACAAATAATTTTTTTTTTAAAAAGATGCTATGTTTATAGGTCAAACCCAAGCTGAATGTAATCACTATGCATCACAAATATAAAAAAGGAAAAAAAATGTGTTAAGGATAATGCTTGCTATGGCAATCACACCTGAACAAGAGAATGCTTTCTAGCCTTCCTTTGGCCAGAATGCAGGCTTCCAAAAATTAATCTAAGGGCCAAGGAGATAGCTCAGTGAACTAAGTGCTTGCTTTGGCAAGCACAGGGACCAGGGTTTGATCCCCAGTCCTGAATGCTGCAACAGCTCCACCCCCAGGGCGTGCTGAGCTGGCGACCATGTCCAGGCATGGTGGCGCATGCCTATAATCCCAGTGCTGGGGAGGC